GGCGTGAAGGAATAAATTAGGTTGAGTACTGCTGGCGGGAGTGGAGCCCCAAGTACCCTCCCCTTGTGTTACAGGGATGGGCCCCTCCTCCCCTCAATTCTTTGCATCCAAGTATAAGAAGAATTATCTGCTGCCTAATGTCACTTCCTGTCTTTGGTTTCACTCATCAGAATATTGCAGCTGGGACTGGTGTTTAGGTTAAGCCATGACGGTTGTTTATCCTGTCAGTCACTTCAGGTTCTATTTGGATCGTTGGCAAGAACAGCGAAGGATAATACAGACTTCAGTGCATGCATGCTCATTGCTAGATTCTGCCATGGCCAATGAGCAGGCAGAGGAAAAAGGGAAATTGCTTCCACTTACTGGGTGTTTACACAGAGCCTGGTGAGGTCGACTACACGGCTTCTCGCTGAACCTCATATTTAATCTTCATTTGTAAAATGGAGAGGCACAGAGAACGTAACTGTGCCAAGTGGCACAGCCAGGGAGACACAGGACCCTGGGACTCTCACTGTGTGCATGTCACACCCACACAGCAAGGACTCCCAGGAGATGCTCAGAAGATGCGGAGATCTCTTCCACAGATAAAGCAACAATTATCAGGAGACACAGCAGCCGCTGTGGCCTTCTTCCAAGGGCAACAACGTATGCGATGAACCATCCTTTATGGCACTAATAACTGGGCTTCTGAGCACCACCATGGCTATTACTGCTTTCCATATGACACTTGGCCAGGTCTTTTTCTTCTTTACTTCCAGGCTAATAATTAGATTTAAATCCCTGACAGAACTCTAAACATCACCACAGGGAGTTCTACATCTCCTTACTATTGCTTACAAAGATTTCATTTTTAAAAAGGTCCTTTGAAATTATCAGTAAGTTATACTCAGCAATAGCTTTAAAAAAAAATCTGTTATCTTACTGAGTCTTTTGAAAAACACATGCTGCTCTCTCCCTTTTTGCCTAGAGAGTCCATCCCTTCTTTTTAATCTCCAGCTGGAAGAATTAAAATGCCCAGGAGGAACAGGGTGGATTGATCCAGACAGCATCTATGGTCCTAGAAAGTGTGAATTCAGGAATCTTGTCCTCATTTCATTACAAAACAAATTTGTTTTCTCTACCTAGTGAAATGGTGGTGGCTTTGGCTCTCGGGGGAAACATGAAAAACAACTGTTGGCTGTAAATTAATCTCTCAGCCTCTGCATCTCAGTTGCACGGATCAGAGCTGGAACAGGTTGTGCACAGGGGTGTTAGCCAGGCACCATTCTGTTCTCTCTATATCCAACTAGCCGTCTCCAGCGCAGCTATGATCACGGGAAGTCACTTTCCCGTCCTTTGAGGAACAAGAGGGAGTCACATGAGGAAACCACACGTGGCAACATGGGCCTCATTAAGACACGCAAAGGCAGGTGAGTGGTCTCCCTGGAGACTCACCAGCCAAGGAAGACCGTTCTCAGTCCTTCTTAGCATGACTGAGTACTTATGAGAACCCGGTTGCTCTTTCTGGTCTCACTGCCGAGCCCAGTCGTGCAGGCTAGTTTTATGTCAACTTGACACAAGCCAGAGTCACTGGAAAGGAGGGAACCTCAATTGAGAAAATGCCTCCATAAGATCCGGCTGGAAGGCATTTTCTTAATTAGTGATTGATGGGGGAGGGCCCAGCCCATTGTGGGTGGGGCCATCCCTGGGCTGGTGGTCCTGGATTCTATAAGCAGACTGAGCAAGCCACGGAGAGCAAGGCGGTAAGCAGCACCCCTCCACCATAGCCTCTGCATCAGCTCCTGCTTCCAGGTTCCTGTCCTGACTTGCTGTGATGATGAGCTGTGCTGCAGAAGCTAAGCTGAATACACCCTTTCCTCCCCAAGTTGCTTTGTCATTGTGTTTTTACAGCAATAGTGACCCTGACTAGGACACTAGTCTATCCACACAACAAAGAAAATCAATTGTGTCCAGAAGCCTAAGGATGGGATGTGGTCAACTATTCCGGTCACATCCTTTACTCAGATGTTTCTCTTGAAGAATGTAAATACATATTTAACATTTCTTCCAAGGCACACAAATAGAAGAATAGTCAATTTTACTAAACCTGACTTTAAAAACCATGTAAGTGGAGAAAATTGTATACTTCTAAAGCACAATTCTTTTAGGCAATTAAAGGCACCACCGTCAATGGATTTAAGGCATAAACCTTCTACAATTTGTTGGACAGCTTTCTTTGAGCAGAAATGTGAAGATATGCAAAACTATTATTTTTGGGTGCTTCAAATATTTTCTTACCTAGGATCCAGGAGGCTTTTCAATTGATCCTAGAACTTTGCACATATCATAGGCGAGAAGTATACTGGATTGGCATCTGCAGCCTGATCCAGGATAATCTGTTCCATGACGTTTAGTAATAGTTGCTACTAGAACCACTTCCATGAACAGGCGTATGATGAAGAACATTGGTACTACTGAATCCATGATTATCAAACTAAAGATTATATATATATGTATGTATGTATATATGTGTGTATATATGTACATATTCTCCAGCCCATCCAAACGTGAGAGGAACACAGTAACACCAGAGTGAGAAAAGGTTTCTTCAGGTAACCAAATACATGCCTCTGCTAACTTGCAAATGGAAGGCTTATGAACCTCACCTTCTAAAACTCCCAGTTGAGCTAGGGGTGGATCTCCCAGGAAAGCATGAGAAGCCTTCCTAGAAAGGGTTGTCTAGGAAGTGGGGTTTGAGGCTAGCCCACACAGGACTCTTACCTAAGATGAGTGGGATTGCTCAGGTGCCTGTGACAACTTGAAAGCAATCTATAGTGATTAGCTGGGTGTGGGTACACAATTCTAGCACACAGGAGGCTGAAGCAGGGAGATCATGAGGGTCAAGGTCAGCCTGGTCTACACAGCAAGTTTGATGGTGAGAGTCTGTATCAAAGAATAAATTGTGTGTGTGTGTGTGTGTGTGGGTGGTGTTTGGAAGACGGGTCTATGATGCAATAAGCTTGTTTTAAGTAGAGGCTCTCAGAAAGCCTATTACCATGCTACAGTGTTCACCATCTGCCCACAGAGAGCAAGTGCACTTCGTACAAAAACCGCAAAGTTAGCATGCTGTCACCAAGACTGACACCACACTTCAGTCTCAGATTTGCAGAATATTAATCTGAGAAATGTTTACTATCACCCAAACTGGGTAAAGCTATCTGGGGCCCTACACTTGGCTACTGCAGAGTTGAAGGGCTGTCGCCTTCAACTAAGTACATTCTCCATGGTCTATAGTGCTGTCTTTAACACGAAATAAGCAGCCCAATTATCTGTACCTTCTGGTTCAACACTTCATTCCCCTCTGATGTGGGAGGTGAGTGCCTGAACCTCTAGCTTACCAACAGCCTGCTGTGGGAGTTCCCACAAGGAAAACACCGCCAAGTGGGCAACCTCAGATATTACCCTAATCCATTGTTTTGTAAAGTTGTCAAACCTGAGGCCTTGGGTGGAAAGGTGCCACACAAAAGTGAAACCCAGTCGTACTTGAAGCCTACACCCCAGTGGGAGTTCTAATCAGGTTGAGAACAGTTCTGTGCTACACAGAGCAGCTTTCAGGGCAGGAGGTAGGCCATTAAATGCTTTCTGAATTCCATTAGTTACTCCTGCTGAGAATGAAAAAGTCCTCCTAAGTGCATAAAAATTAAATTGCCTATGATGTAGGGAACAAGATGGTGCTTTGCTGCCAAATATGATTTCCCGTCTAAATAGCTGACAATCACACACAGAATGTAGACTTGTAAGAAGCACCTGAAGGGATGTGGTACTGACTGGGAACCTGTGCCTCACATCTAATGACTTCAATTGTCTGCTAACTACCCAGTTCTGCTTCAGGAGAAGTTGCCCTCTGTTCTCCAGCTCCCAGCTGGGTTAATGCACTGTGGATACAGCCCACAACCTCTGTTCCAGGCTGGATGTGGACGTGGGTCCGACCATCAAGAGCAAGAGATGTTTGGTCTTAGTGACTCAGAGACATGGTACAGTGTGATAGCTAACGACACCAGTTTGACAGGATCTAACACCACCCAGTGGATACGTAGATAGGATTCTGGGCATGTCTGTGCTGGAGGAATTATCTAGATTAGGCTAAGACTGGCAGAGCCATCCTATCCACTGTGTGAAGAATAAGGAGAAAGGAAGCTGAGCAATAGCATTCAACTACAGCTCTGCTTCTTGGCTATGGATACAATACGCCAGCTCCCTCAAGACCTTGACGCCATGACTTCCGCACCTTGATGGACTGTAAACCTTGAACCGTGAATCAAAATCAACCCTCTCTTCCTTAAACGGGGTTTGTCCAGGTAACTGCCTCACAGCAATGAGACAGGCAGCTGATAGGTACATTCTTTTCAACTGGCTGTAGGCCCTTTGGTGGCACATGGAACTGGGAAGGCAGAGTCAGTCCACAAAGAGAAAAGCTGAAAGACGGCAGGCAGGGTCCCAACTCCTTGACTACTACTAGCTCAGAGGCCCAGACTCTAGCTGTTACAGCTGAATTTTCAGGTTACATTAGCCACTTAAGATTCTGAGTTTTCTTCAATTGCAGTCAAAGTAGCTTAACCGAGGAAAAATAAACGGAAACCATACATTTCAATTTGGGCAGGGGCTAGTCTCACCCTTCAGAGGTATAGGCTAAGAGCTTTGTTGGGATCTTTTGCTAGGAAGTGGTACTGCCAGGACTACAACCCAGGACCCCCATTTTCTCATGATGTTCACACTCCATTGAGGGGAAAAAATTATGGAAAGTTACCTGTAACACACACTACATCTGTTTCAAACTTCTAATTAAAACTCTGAAGTTTCCTATATTGATTATACTTAAACCATTAAGTAAAAATTCTTTTTAAAAAATCATCCTTTCCATTACATAGAATTTTGAAAACTAGAAAAACGTATTAAAAACAAAATTTCTCAGAAAGGTGCCCGTGGTCTGTGGTCGCAGGAACATAAATAGCCCAACAAAATAGCTTAAAATGTTTTATTAAGTATATATAATATTACAGGGTAATATTTACACAGTTATTTTTTTTAAATAAAAAAGTATCTTGGCAAAGATTGCAGGTATTCAAAGCTTCAAACAGTGATAAATTGATTTAATACATATAAAAAAAAACTTTAAGGGTAACATAGCTGTAAAACAACTTTGGTCTTTAAATTACTGCAAAAAATGGCTACTGACAAATAGCACACCTTTAATTGCTATGCAAAAAGGCCCCCAGGAGAGAACCTTGCACATAGCAACACTGGAGTCCTCTTACAATTTAGAATGGTTAATGGATATTTATATGACGTGGGAACTAATTCTCAACAATGGCTTTCTGTAAATAATGCTCTGTTTAATAAAAATCAAAAGTATTTTCCTCTTTCATCCATTATGATAACAACACTCTAAAGACGCCCCTGATGCTATCTTATAGAAACGCTTATTAAAAATGCCCTTTCTTTTCCTCCAAATAGTAGATTCATGGAAAACTCAGTATTAAACAGTTATAATTAAGGGCGATCAAAGTTATAGGCAGGACAATATCCTGGGTACTGCTCATCTCTTTAAAGTTAACTTGGATCATCCCTTTTAGCCACAAAAGATGACTTAACAAGACCCCTAGTGGGTGTGGCGATTAAGAGATTTTTGAAAATGCTCATCTCAAAATAAACCCTCAGTTAAGTACAGTAAAAAAACAAAGGGTTGCCAGACATGTTTTTTTGTTTTTTTTTTTCTCTACTTCCCAACACCAGGCAAATACACGCGTTTGTATTTACACACACATCCTCTGGCGGCCATTTTTGAATACCCATTATAAGACAAGATAAACCTGGACGATGATATACAGCTGAACTCTTATTAATGAGATACTAGCAGAGTGAACGCATCACTTTTTGAGCTTTATTAATGCAAATACAATTTGGCCACTATATTGACTACAACATCCTGAAAGAAAGCCTATTATGTATGATGCTGCCCCGTGACGTTTAGTTTGATATTCTCAATAATTTCAACAGACCAGACTTGGAATTTTCAGGTGAAGCATCACCTCTTAACGATTTTCAAAGCATGTGAAATTTGTCCAAAAGAAAAGAAAAAGAAAACGCCCTAGCTCACCCTATTAAAACGAGAAATCTAAGTACAGGCAACTCTTGCCACCAAACTTCTGAGTGCCTGCGAATGTATGCAGAACACTGCAGGAAGAAGAGGAGAAACAGGAAGCCATGCTTTTGCTGCCGAAGGAAATTTTTAAAGTCCAGTGAGAAGAAGATGACAAAAAACCCAACAGAGCTAAGCGGAGATACATGAAGCACCGGGAAGGGTAAGTGAGAGATGAAAGGGGCCCCCAGACAGACGGGGACAGAGCGCAAAGAACAGCCATTGACAGATGAGGGCTGAAGCGCAAAGATCTGAGAGAGAAGAAAAATGGGCTTCAGCCATAAAGGCTGGAAAAAGTGTTGCGGAAAATGACAAATGGCATCACTTCGTACTATTGTATAAATGGAGAGCAGACAATAAATAAAAATCGAAGAGCGGATATGACAGCAGAAACTGGGATCAGGGAGAAAAAAGCACATTGTGGGGCAAAACAGATGCATGCTGCCCACAATACTGTCAGCAATTTAAATCTGCTAGGATGCGAGCCGGGAGCCATTGTGGGACTGATTTAAAGAGGGTGAACTGGCCCAATAATGCCCAGGCAGAAGGACTCTTGCTGCTGTGGTCCCTTATATAGAGAAGTTGATTAACTACGAACAACAGTCGAGTTCATCTTGTGTTTCCCAGGCTACCACTGGTGGCACTGTCTAGGGTACTCAATGCCTCTAATGGCGGGCAGCAAAGAGGACATGAGAGCTGGTTAAGACCCAAGACTGAACCCCGAGCAGAGGGGCAGTGACTGCGCATTAAAAGGTACAACTTTAGTTCATAAAAAAACAACAAAAAAATCGACTATAAAGATTTTCACATCTGACTCTTAATGGAGAATAGGAAAATTTGGGTATCTTCCAAGTCCATCTGCTTTTTGCTCTCTTCACCGAAACTGATTTCAAAGTAACCAACGATATGAGCAAAGTATAAATATTTTCAGAAGGAGAAGGAAAAGCATCAGGAGCCATCTGATTGGTATAAAGGCATTCAGCTCCCTCTCTATACAGGGATATTTTGAACAGCTACAAAATCAGGGAGGAAACCTACTTTTCTTTAAAAGCACTATCTTCATAATGTGGTCAGTTTTCTGAGAGGCCTCAGCAGGTCGTAAGTTTAGGTTTGCCATGGACAAACCACTTGGTCCCCACATGAAAGATGACAATAAATTTGGCATACAAGAGGCACATGGAAACATTCAGTAGACTGAGAACAAATAACCATTAGTAATGCAAACACAAATACAAATGCCTTATTACACAAACAGGAGAAATTACTGGTATTTTTTTTTTAGAGGGCATTGGTGAGCAGTCAAAAAAGCTTGGCACATTATCTAGTTTTAAAGTGATCAAATATTTGCATCAAATATAATTCCACCCAATAAGGACCTTGGTTTTTAAATGTATTTACTAACAGCACAAAGTTAGCATTTGCACTTCTGTAGATGCCTCACTTTTGTCTGTACAGAAGATGCATGTGCCTACCTTTATACATGTGCACATACAAACACGCCCACAAACAAGGTAAAAACAAGTGCTAATAATCTAAAAGTACTCCATGCGATCACAACTGTCAGGACGTTGGTTGTCTTCTAACCGGGTGGGGGATGTGGTCGTTTTGTTTTCCTTTTCGAACTTAGGGGAAGAGGAGGAGGCAGGAGGCAGGAGACAGGAGGAAGGAGATGAGTGTTCATCATGCAACAAAGAGACAACAGGCGTAAAACCTCCTCCCCGGCCCGGCTAGGGCCTGATGGAGACACATGTTGCCATGCAGGAGACGACGCATAGTTCAGATTTCAGTCTTGCTTGGTCATGCCTCCCATCAGAAAACATGGGAAGAAACACTGTGGATTTTTGCCTTCAAACCAGAGGTCTGGAATACATATGTTACAACCATAGCTATTTTTTTTTCTTTTTCTTTTTCTTTTTTTTTTTTTTTTTGCTGAAGAGTATGAATGAGCACAGTGCTTTGAGAAGTCTGGCTCCCTTCTGCAACTGACACTACTGTGTCAGAGGACCACGTTTGAAGAGGGGAAAAGGTACTCCATCTTGTACCGCAAATGCAAGCAGCAGGACGGGATAGGGTGCAAAGGGTTGTGTGCAAAAAAAGAAAACCACATCTCTAAGGAAAAAAAAAAGTATCCAAAATCTGGGTGCACTTTATGTCAAAGGGGTGTGTGTGTGTGTGTGTGTGAATTGGAGGCAACCCCCAAGAAGGAAAACGCTAGTGCCATCAGTATCATAGCACACATTGGGGGCATACAGGATCTGCCTGGCCAAATTAATGTTTCTACTTCCGTCTCTATCGCTATGACCCAGAAGTGGCAGTCACATTATTCAGCTAGCAGCATGAATGACAAAGCTGCTGGGAACCTGAGTTTACTAAGGCTTGCTGGATACCACTGTTTTTCACAGGTATCTCTGGGTAACCTTCAGGTTAATGCGAGGCAAGTCTCCTCCAGAACTGATTTAAACCCTGTGTCCAGAGACTCAAGGATCTAGCCAACATTATTCTTGGAAGTTGCCCCTGATACTTTTGCCCCTAGTTGAGTAGAAACAATAGAAAAATGGATTTCAATTGGTTACACGACACAATCATAATTCTTTTATTAAGTAAATTACAGCTGCTCTGAATATAAACTGAACTGGGATAATCATCTATGGGTCAATGACATGTTCTTTCATAGATGAAAATCAGTTACTGTTGCTTGTATTCTTCTTGCCAGCCATGAGTCCTCAAGGTCATGATGCTTAAACATACATGTATTCCTCCACTTCGGACGCTCCAGTTACGGTCCATCACTTCCCCTCACTTATTCTGGAAAATAGAAACATCCACATGTCATCACTACGCACATGTCTACTTCCTATGCATTAAGACATGATCTGGTTCTAAACGTGAAAACTGTTTCAGATATATCAAAAATAATGAGAACATATCTGTAAAGGTCACAGAGAGAAATCAGGCAAATCACGAGCCTTTTCAGTTTGCTAAGTAAAATGCCAATGACAAATGAAAATAAAATCAACACAGACTGATCATCTTGGTTTGCTGGGTTAGCTCGACCAAAGGCGAGCGATGTTGGTTTTCCAAAGCAGAAGTTATTGATCCAAGAATAATACTCTATTGTACTCACTTTGGATTGACACCATTCAGTTAATATACATGAAACAGACTTGTGATCTGGCGTAGGTAAAGCAGATGGCACCTTGAGCCTCAGTCAGTGTGACAGGCACACCAGGAGCCCAGAGTGGATGTCAGAAGGCTGAGCCCATCAACAGATATTTAAACAAACTGTGATCAGCTAAATGTGGCCAAAACTCAGGGCATTTCCAAGGTCATTACAGACCTCATGCACTACACAAACAAGTGAAAAAAAATCAAACAATTGTTCTTTATGCTATCTCCTGATATGGTGGTGACTTTAAAAAAAAGTCACATTTTAAAGAAAATTAACAAAGAGGCACTGAAGGTTTTTTACAATGGTTTTCTGCAAATGGAGAAAAGTTTATGTCTTTTTTTTTTTTTAATCCACTTACAGAAAAATGACAGCACGATAGGGGAAAGAAAAGAAACAGAGTATTTGAAAAACAAGACACAGAGGGCAAACATGATAAAACCATGCCAGGAATGTTGGCATTCTGTACACTAGCTCCCACTAAAACCACTGTTTTTAGGTAGCAGTGGCTTGCGTACACAACACACATTTGAAAGCTACAACAAAGCCTGTAACTAGGGGCCCATTCTGGATTTCCCATTAAACACACGCCTGAGCCCGGTTTTAAATTTAGCTCACCCACCACATGATCGAAGTGTTTTTAATCTCATGCAGAAGTTAATTGTGCTCTGGGGAAGATGGCCTCCTGTGTTACCTTCAGTTCTTTGTTAGGGAGGTGAACCAGCAAGTCACAGGCCTTATAACAGCAAACTATGGAGCCAGGAAGGGTTTCAGGTACTAATGGTGTGAGGACGTTTTTTTTTGAAAATAGGATAAAAATACAAATGTAGTTCCTAAATGTCCATGGAGCTAGAGAATCACAGCATATTAAGGTTAAAAAGAAATGTATACATTAGGGGGGAAGAGTCAGACTTCTTCGGTTAGAATTAACAAGTACATGTGTTGGTCATGGAAACGTGTGTTGCTACTGATCTGGTGTTCAGAAAAGACAGAAAGGCTGGGGGAGTAACCAAGTCTCTCTCTCTCTCTTTAGTCCTTTCCCACAAGGTTGAAGTTATGGATATATCACCCCCAGTGTCACATGCAGCACAATCATCTCCAGGAGTATAAGAGAAGCCCTGTCAAGGGGAGACAAACTTATGCTAGGGTGTCTGCACACTTCATAAAAGCATTTTAAAGGTTCAATAAACAGGCGCATGACTTGGAAACACGTTTATCAAAGGCAGCAACTGCTTGGCTGAGGAACCAGGAGGTTCCAGGGTTTGTGAGACCCAACAAGTTTTTGTTCTTATCCACCTACAGAAAAAATGATACCATGTAGGTAAAAGAAAGAAAGGAATATCAAACTCGGTCTGGGCTTTAAACATCAAGAAGTGTGGACATTCATGATTGACAGTGTCCCTGTTATTTTTTGAAAAGTTATAATTGCAGGCAGCTCTGCTTTCTCTTTAATGTCCATGCATCAATCAGGGCACAATGACAGGTGAATTTCATACTTACCATCATTCATCATTCCTTTTGATTCTTTAAATGCTGAGGATTAGTAACAAGCAGGCAATTAGTGAGAAGGCAAGTTAGTAAGACTTCACAGCTAGAAATAGTCTCAAAATAAACAAATACGCAACGACATGATGCCAGCTAGTCCTCAACCAGACAGCTAGACTCATTTGAGGCTATCATTCAGGGGACGCATTTCTAATGCTTCACTCCCACAGCATCCACAAAGGCAAACGCACCTACTGGGGAACACAGATCTGGGTTTACCCAGAAAGGAAGTGAAACACGTGGGTGTCACTCCACGGTGGCAACCTGTGTTTTTCTAAAACTGACAAATTAGAAATTGGAAGCCACTGACATTTTTCTCCACTGAGGGTGGGCCACTTCACCTTGTCCCGTATAAAAAGGTCAGTGGTCCCCTTGCCCAAATGTCCCTTTGCTAAAGTAAGCAACTGCTACAGCACAGCACAGTGAGAACATCGCAGAAGCAACACTACCAATTTCTGATGAATGATCAAGAAAGAATCGAGAGATCAAGGCAAGAGGACACATGAACAAAACAGCAAGCAAACAAACAACATTCCCAAACTAGATTCTCCCCCAAGGCACAGCTGGGCATGCTAATGTCTTTGTGGATCAGTTCAAATTATGATCTGCTAATGGACCAAGACTACTAAGTTTATAATAATCACATACCGTTAAGGGGTTCCTCTACAGCTTTCTGGAAAATATTTAAAATATATTTATATAAAATACACGTTATTTTATATCTTTTATGCTAAAACTTACACTACCATTGAACCTGTATTATGTGGAGACTCCTATGGTTTAAAAGCAAAATAAGACAGCAAAAGCTAATGAAACAAGGCTTCCCAAGGTTAGTTAATGGTTTAATAATAACCAAATTATTCTCTTAGTATTTTTTCCTGTGCAAAATTTCCCACTCCACCCACCATTCTCAGTTCAAGAAATCTCATGAAAGTATTAATGCACAAACATGCAAATTGCAGTAAGAGACAGAAAATACAGTTAAATAAGAGATGGTAGCAGAGCGGAATCATCTTCACATCATGCAAATTGAACTCAGTAACAGCAAGAAATTGTTGGGATTTAATGGTCCATTGGTCAGGTTATCTATAAGAGGCGCTAGAAAAACTTCTGGCTGCTTGTGACTAACGCCGCTATGACACCAGCCTCTTCAGAGTAAAAGGCTGAGGTAAATTAACACACTCGGCCCCTGCCTGCCCTTTGGGTGTGTTCTTTGAGGCTGCCACATTTCTCTGTCAGTCATCATTTACAGGAAGCTGAGTACAATACAGTCCCCTCCAGATCTTAATTCCATGGAAGAACTCTCAGGCCTGTCGCCATGGTGAGTCGATATGGTAGTTTGTTGGTTTTTTTTTTCTCCCACTCACACATCTCCTTCTGAATCTGCTCTTTTTCTTAGAATTTCCCCAAAGAGCTTATGAAGGTAGGCAAACACAATGAGACCTGTAGTGTACTTTCGGGAAAGGAAAGTACTGATAAAATGGGAGGAGTCGTTATTTGGAACAGATTTTTTTTTTTCAACAAGAGATACCATATAGACTATATTTTTAAGTGAAGTCAGTTTAGCACAAACTTCTCTTCCTTAATGTCATGCTTGAAATTGTCATTCTATGGACTCACATCAGAAAAATCCAACAGGTGGGGAGACATATTGGAATCAGCTTCCTTCTGATGGAAGAGAGAACCACATTCCTTCTCAGAGACTGTCCAATTCTGGATATATAAATTGAGTACAACCTTACAGGATCACTTCTCCTATCTCACAGGTATTTAAATGTTCCAAGGTAAGTCTTACAATAGATCAGACCCATTCATACCCAGGCCCTGAAATGACTTCAGCATCGTCTTAATTGGATGTCACATTAAGTGGGGAGCAAAACTGTTCAATATTCCAATTATCAACCCCTCATTTTAATCCATCAAACAACCATTCTTAATTCATTTAATAAACTTGAACTTACCCTAGGAGGTTGTATAGTCCTCTGGTTGGAAGCTGGTATAAATAAAAATATAAATTCAATAATTAAAATAAATGAAGCAATACAGTACTTAATTTTAAGACAACATGTTCAGGGCTAAAACCAGAAGGTGCTAGATACTCCAATGAAGGAGTTCTAGTTTTGATGGTCTATTGGAGAACTACAGAAGACTCTTGATTATATACATTGATAGGAGAAAAGGAAGCAAATAAGATGCCTATAGCAGCTAATAAACACAGACTTGCTCACGTGCATGTGTCTCTGGCATGTCGGTTACCTACTCTACATCATGTTGAAAGACACTGTCAACTACTCTCTCCCGCCAGGGTCCCATCTCTGCCTGTTGCTCCGATGGCTTGGACAGAATGTGGCAATGAGTAACTTCCCCTCGAGAGCATCTTCCTTAGCACACTGTTCTCATTCCTAGTCTAGGGCCTTCCCTTCCTTTCTCCCTTCTTTCCAGTCTTCAAAGCTCTCAACAGCTAACAAACTAAAATAAAAAACATGATGATCCCGCTGAGCTTAGAGCTCTCCCAGACAGCCAGCTTCAGACCAACCAGGGCCTGCTCTGTGTATTCCTCCTCGGCATTCTGAGTTGCTCCCTTCATTGCTTCTGAACAGATTAGCCATTGAAGATGCAAGAATAGGGAGCATGCACTAAATGACAAGAGGGAAAAGAACAACTTTGGACTGGTAAGAAAGAAAACTTCCGTATGAAACTGGGCAAGGAAACCCTAGAGAAACCAAAGCCAGTCTTTCGCACAGGGCCAGTGCCCCAAAGCCAGGAAAACATGACCAGCAACACTCTCTCAATGACTCAATACTCTTTGACTAGCCATAATTTCCTACCACACCCATCTATCTCAGTTCAAGAAATCTAAACTTCTCAAAATAACTTTTACAGTACATTCAGAGAGCAACCCTGAATGCACAATGTAGTTTTAAGATGAGCGTGGAGCAGAATCATTTCCGAGTCATGTGGAATGCTGAGAAACAGGGTTAGGGTTTGCAGGGTTCCGGCGAAACCCTGCTGGCTAGCAGACAAAGGCAGGCCCAGGACAGCCAACATCCCCCACCCTGCCCATGCAGACTCAGCAAGCTTCTAAGGCTGACAAGGACCAGGCTTTCTCAAACAGGAAAACTGCAGCTACCGCTAGAATTAGAAGAGGTAAATAAGAACAACTAGAGACTTGGTGATGGGAAGGGCAGGTTAAAAAAAAAAAAAAAACCTAAACAGAAAGGAAGAGTTTGGGATGTAGACTACAGGCAGGAAAGTGCTTATAGGAAGAGAGCAGCTAGGAACCATCACAGTGAAGCAAGGGATGGGAGGGAGCAAAACGCAATGCTCTTCAGTTCATGTAAACTGAACTCAGTCACAGGGACAGTAAATGCTCAGCTGTCAGAGGCTTTTACACCTTCCCCACCAAGGCTCAGGGGACACTGGGCAAGAGAGGACAGAAAGAATCTAAGAACTGGGAGACGTGAGGCAGAGCTACAGAATGCTATCTTCTGGACAGGATGCACACATTCTGATCAGGAACTCAGTGCAACTACACTTGCCTACAATACACCTAAACAAGAATGGGCCTGTCAGGAGCCAGACATTGATGGAGGAGGGACCCAAGGAGGGTCTGAGTGCCCACCATCAAACAGATGGCCAATGACAGATTCTGAGAACTGGAGAATTACTCCCTCAGTTGAGTAAATACTCACGAACCCACCCAGGCTCCAACAGAGTTTCAAAATAACGGTCACACAGACGGCCCTGGTTAAACTCACTGGATCTTCAAACAAAACAGTAACTCATGAATATGGCTAAGAGACTTGCAGGGAGGAGAGTGGGCTGATGAAGGCAGGTGATGGGAATCAGAATGCATTGATTGATTGATTGATTGATTGATTGTGTGTGTGTGTGTGTGTGTGTGTGTGTGAATGAAAACATCAAAGGACACATTTAATAATAAAATATAAAAGAGTGAGGTAGCACCATAGTGTATGCATATATTCAAAAACAGGAGAAAGAAAAGGATGTTTAGGTGAGAGTACATGCAGAAGCCACACTGGTGCCGTTCTCAACCTCGGTCAGAGAAGTTTCTTTCTGCAGTTGTTCGTTAGTGGTTAGTCCAGACTCAAAACTAGTCAGAGTGCTGAGAATCAGTGACTGTGACTGCCCAGCCACAGATGGGCCCTCTGTATCAACCTCTCTCCACCCAAAGCTCAGCGAACAGATTGGAAGAGTGACTAGGAAGAATCTGAGAGCTGGAGGATGGAGAGGAGAGCTGTGAAACGATGTCTGGACATGACGTCACTGACAGACACACCAACTCACAGCAGAGGCAGCTGCTTACACAGGAACTGCACCAGTTCAGGCCACCCAAAATTCCAGCATGGTCGGGAAGGGGCTCATGGGACCTTCACCCCTAGGTGAAGAGTTATTGGCAGCTGATGGTCATTGAGGGAGGGGAAATCAGTTTTCTCTGGTGATGTGGCTCCACTAATTGGACTCAGGAGACTAGCATTATCATCATCATTACTATTATTGGCAAAAATATTGCCCAGGCACATGTGGGCTTGTGGTTTTGAGACGTTCCTGCTCCTGAAAGCAACCCCAATAAAACTCATTGGTTCACTCAATTGGATTTTGAGGTTCACCATGCTTTGATCTGCCACTGTTTTTCTACCTGGAAAGAGGAAAGACTTCTCATCTCCCCAGGAATATTGCATAATATTTTAAAATTATATTCAAGCTCATAAACATGTTCATTGTAAGTAATACTAAGAAGTGCTCTATTGTGCTTCTCCCTGCCTCTCCACTAGCACATGGTGGCTGCTAAGTTCTCACTTTCAAGTCTGATTTGCTTAGCTCACTCTGAAACAGAACTATAAGAATGTCATACGCTATGATGGCCACTAGTCAGTCCTGATCCTCGGACATCATAGAACTAGCTGTATGGGAGTTAATGTTACCTGAGTTAATGCTCTCTAGTGGGGATGTAAGCCATGTCATAAAGAATGGAGATGAGCCGGGCGGTGGTGGCGCACGCCTTTAATCCCAGCACTTGGGAGGCAGAGGCAGGCGGATCTCTGTGAGTTCGAGGCCAGCCTGGTCTACAAAGCGAGCTCCAGGAAAGGCGCAAAGCTACACAGAGAAACCCTGTCTCGAAAAACCAAAAAAAAAAAAAAAAAAAAAAAAAAAAAAGAATGGAGATGATTGGTCTGTTGCTCTCATGTGTCATGAACCTAGGCACTGGTAGTCTTTTTTTTTTTTTAAATCAAAAGCTTTAAGCATTCCACACGTTTACTTGCAGTCTTATAATGATTCTTGGTATGTTGCGCTCACTCTGAAATACCTGACTACATGCCATAAATATATTTTCAGGCTTTCAATTCCTCAGGAACCGTTTATCTAGTGATTTATATATAGCTTGTAAACAGTGGACAAGAAAATAGATCTGAATAAATACACACACAATCTATGTGTGTTTCTGTAGCATTTCAGAACACCTGAGATGTTGCAGCAGGCATGGTTCTGACTACCACCAAGTTGATTTGAACCAGCACGGCTGTACCTGCTCTTCTAACTGTACTGAATGATAATGGCTTTAAAAACAACTCCTGTACCACATAAAATATGATTTCAGGTGCCCCACCCAAAAACAAGCTCTGTTTTAGGGAGTGTGGTTAGTTTCCTTTCATATTTCTTAGGTGCTCATATTAAGTTATTATAATTTTCTGACTTCATAAAATTAAAATCCTTCTCATAAGAAAAAAATACAATATAATTTAAAAATTATATTTTGCCATAGAAAGCCAAAGTTAAAATCACATCCCTTAAAATTGCAATTAAGGCTACAAATTTAAACTCAGAAATAATGAAAAATATAAAAGCTATGAATCTCACAGGGATATTAACTCACTTTAGAAAGAGAACTTTTTTTTAAAGTATGTGAGAATTTTATTACATTTCAATCAAATGTCATCCATTTCTACAATGGTGTCTGCAACAAGCAGGAATTATTTTGGAAATATAGCTTTCACTTCCTAATAAAAATGCTCAAATTTGCAACCTTAATGCTATATACATTCAGATTTATGCAGTCAGAATACATAAGCAAAACATTCACTGTCCTAGTCTACTACAGTATCTACAAAGCAGCCATCCTGTACCTTTTTTCTTGTCTTTCAACTGACCGAAGGGGTCTCTCTCCACTCTGGGGTCAGACAAGTTGATTTGAAAAGTTAATTTAGGATAGTCTCAAGGTGTCAATAAAATTGGACTAAATTCTTAACTTACAAACAATATATTTATCTAGCAAATCATCATAAAGAAAAAAATATCTCTGGGTACTTTGATTTCACTTGTATCACAGTAATGTGTAATTCCAGTGGCTTTACAGGCGTCACAGGGACATAAGCCACGGAGGAAATGCGAGAGCAGAGGCAGAAGCCAGCCACTGGATGATGGCAATTCTCATGGCAGCTATGCTGAACATCACTCATGACCAGGTATGGAAGCCAGGGAACAAAAGGATGCATTCCAGATAGAGAGGAAAAAATAAGAGCGGAGAGTTGACCATCTGTCAGAGACACCTAGTCCCGCTGCACTGGAGTTATATGAATACTGCAGGTCACAGACTGTTCTCAGCATTCATGGGAGCAACAAAATCAGCAGTGTCAGCCTTCAAGTCCAGACACAGGCTGATTGGGAGACTAACAAAAATAGAATATGCATCAGAATTCAAGGCACCAGAGGCAGCTCCTGAGCACCAGCCTGCTACAGATGTCTTAGTTGTGTTTCATGGGGTTATGCGGTAGAGTGTCAGGGCAATTCAGTAAGCCACAACTAATACCTATGAACACAAAAACTAAAGGCAGGTAGACTTCGGAGTATTTTAACCGTTTACATAAAAACATTAACTAAGAGAAAAGACTATATATTATATGTATGTAATAGACCAGACTTCATGATCAGAGATTAAGAAATGAAGTTCAGAAATAAAGGCAAAAGTTCTTTGAAAGTCTTATGTAAATAACATGAAAATTTTATTGACCATAATGATTCAACTTTTGCATTAATTTTTAGAAAACGTTCATCTGAGAACACATTGGAAATGCTGATTTGTTTCAATGACTTTTAACATTTGATTTTCTTGTTACCCAGTGCTGTGTTCACTGTATACATTCATACAGATGACAAACGACCTCTTTTAAGGGGGACTGTCATAAATCGGGTGGCTGGGGACAGGTGTGGCTTGGGTAAGGCACACTCTCGTTCAGGCACCGTGAAAAGCACCTGCCTCTGTGTACACGTGTCCATGTTTCCGTCTGCAGAAACACCATACCTGAGATTGGCAGGCTAATCACCAAACAGTGAGGGCAAGTACCAAAAACTGACCAGAAGCTGATGTGAAAGGTGGTCAAACCTTGAATTTAAAGATCTCTTAATATACTGGGTTGTGACTAGAAGCGTTTTTAAGTAGTGCACTGGAAGCCATGGCGCACTAAATTAAAGACGTGACAGGTTTTAATTCCCAGTTCCTGTCTCTGCAGGGGTGTCTGGGTGTATAAGCAGTGTATACAAAGAGCAGACACACCAAGAGCTCCACAAGAGGACCCTGTAACAGGGAACGAACCTTTCACACTAATTTAAAATGGAGCCTTTGAAGGTGTCTTCTTTGGCTTATAAAAATAAATTCTATACTTTCTAGTACACACAGCCACTTCCTCTCTTCATTGGTAACTCGAACTGTGTGAATTCACATGCCTCCCTCCCTCTCTTTAACTGCTGTCTCTCCAATGATATTTTTCTCATTTTTGGAGACATCAGTTGATTTCTATCCTCAGCTGGAGAAACTGACTCAACTCATTTTCTAAGTTACAGATCTGAAATTCGTCGCAGAGGCTTAAAAAGTAGTGAGATTAACTTACCGACAAATTTCATATAAACTAGTCCAAGTAATTCTGGTAGAGCTATGATACCCAAACCTGAAATCAAAAGGGGGCCGTGCACTGGTTCACAAGCTGTAGGACAAATGGAATTTTGTTAGAAATGCAGATAAAGGAAACAAACTTTAATTTAAAGGGATCATCAATAACTAATATTATAAAGTTTTTTTTTTCTTTTGGTGTGTTTGGTGGTGCCAGATTCCCGTCTCTGTAGATTTATATACTAGGCAAATCGTGCTAACACCAAGTATACCTCAGCATCTGCCATCTTTAAAGTTAATACTTCTTATTCTAATGATCAGCAAAAACATTACCTGCATGTATGCAGTATAAGAATATCTTTATTACCAACTCAGCAAAATAGCCTAATTATTAAAAAAAAAAAACATTAAACATAGTGTACTGTTATCATATCAAGATTAGTGAAAAATAGTGTGTAAAGTCCAAGGTGTCCAGCAAGGACAGTCTGGTTATTTGACAAATTCTCCCACAAATATGGGCACCCTTGTTGGGCTATAAACAGTCATCCCACAAACCATATATAGGCAACGTTTCTGTAGCAAAGGGAAAAATACTATTTGCACTGATGCACATGTAAGTGTATTTGTGTGTGTGTGTGGGGGGGGGTGTTGAAAAAGAAAGGGTCACAATTCCAAACGCTGAAAAATACTCGGAGAAGCAAAATCATCGCTCCCTGATGGTGTTACCAAACAGAGTTTGCCAGTTTGCTACAAAAATTAGCTGTACCTTACCACACAATGCAAAAATTACAACCCTTGGTATTTAGCCAACTAGAGCTGAAAATTTATATCCACACAAACACATGCTCAGTGATGTTTACAGTAGCTTTATTCATCTGTCACAAAAAGAGAGAAGCAACCAGGATGGCCCCTCAGTAGGTACACGCAAAATACTAAACACATTATGGCAACGATATTTTTTTCAGCACTAATGAACTATCAAGATATAAAAAAAGACATGGATGAAACTTAAAAAGGAAGGAAACCCTCGGGAAAAGGCACAATCATAACCTCTGTACTGTGTATAGACAAGATCTGTGCTTTTCTCATAGTATAAATCTAGCTCTAAGGCCTTTTGGAAAATGCAGAACTATGTGGCAAGTTAAAAGGCCAGTGATGTCAGGGGTTAGGGAGAGGAACAGATGAACAAGCAGAACATGGGGGGTGATTCCATGTGATACCACAATGGGCATACACGTCACTGTACATCCATCACAGACCCAGAACGTACTGTACAACACCAGCAACCAACCATGATGTAAGCTACTAATTCAGGTTGGTAAGGATGCCTCCATGTTGGTTCATCCACTGCACGGGTGTGAAACGCTGTGGGAAGCTGTGGGTAGATGGGGACTAGAAAATGGGTGGGGTACATGGTAAGCCTCTGTACTTTCCACTAAGTTTTTCTATGAATCCACAACTGTTCTAAAAGAAAAGGCCAGTTTAAATTTTTAAAAAAGAAAGAAGACAAAAGGGAAGAAATGAGAGCTCTAACTTAACTGAAATGAAAACCAGAAACATAAAAGAGTATGACTCACCCATGATGCAGAGACACAGTCCAACCAAAGCAAGGACATAGCCCAGCACTTGAGTGATCAATATGGCGATGGTGAAGGAGGTCATTCCAAAAGCTGAGGGAGGAAGAGGACATAGTAGGGACGTGTCGAGAACACTGAGGAAGCAATTACTCAGCCTGGCATTTGACACGCTCAAAGATGGGACTGCAGTTCCTCATCAGATGACAGGTTTTCTAGCTAACCTTTCCGCCGGAGTGTCGGTGCCAGACTCACACGTTCTGCAAGCTTTTATTGTCGGCCGCCTGAGGGGGACTGGCAGCTTTTACCAAATTCTCGAAACCACGTCCTTGTTACAGTTTTAAACTGTACGGTATGAATGGCTTGCTATGCGTGGCTTATCCACATGCACACCACTGTTCTGGGGGGAACACACCACCACACAAATATAACCTCTGTGCTGTGTGTGTGGACAAGATCTGTGCTTTTCTAACTAACCTTTGGATACGTCTAGAGGACCTAAGACCCAGTGCCAAAAAAGACTCTTTAACAATAACAAAATATGACCTAAATCACAGAAGTTATATTGATTATAGTTGGAATAGTCATACTTTTCAGTGTCGCCAATAACAAGAAACTGGGTTTCTAAAATTTGTGACTTATAACCCCATCTTACAGAACCGGTCTTTTCTACTGCAAAGGGTTAGTAAAAAGAATGCTTCGAACACTGACTTATAGCTACAAAAAACTAAAATTAGAATATGCAAATAGCCATTAAAATTATACAGCACACTTTAAAATTACACCAATTTCATCAAATACGCAAGAAAATGGCTTTTCATAAAACCATGGTTGAGAAGACCTAGCAGCCTGAAAATCAATCTATATGGGAAATGTCACTAAGAATACAATGGACAATCTAATAAGCCAACTTGTGCTGAACTGTTAAAACCATACAAGGATATCTTCACCAAAGTACTTTTTTTTAATGGAAAAAGCCAAAACCAGGCTGTAAGAATAAATACTCACCCGTCATAAACACATTGTACTGAAGTGGTATTAATACTCCTATAGAGATGACAATCAGCCCAAGTCCAGAAGCACTCTTTACAGGGTTTTCTCCTGTTATAAATAAATATATTTAAAATATCTTCTTATATACTTCTTTATGAAGTTACATACTTCGTTTATTAAATGTTTTAATCGCAGTGCTATCTTATACACTGTAAAAGGCTTAAAATGTTTTCCCCGAGTTCACACAAAATAAGTAATTCTTATTTTAACATTTAAGGCCAAGCTAAAGGATTTGTATCTCAACATATTGAATCCGTTATTTGGTTTTAACTCTTTTACTGTCTTACATAGTTCCAGATGATAAACTTGCCCTCACTGTCCACCATCCATTCATTCAGTATTCAGCCTGTCCTCAGGCCAAATCAAGCACTCCTTCATATTGTCTCCAGACTTCATCACCTTCCCAGGCCCTCACCAGCCCTGGGTGCAAACAGGACTACCAAATCTGTGTTCCAAAGCCCCGCCTGTGCAGGATGGCAGTGGGGTTCTGTGGTCTGCCACGGTGGGTCCCGGCCTTTGCTTTTCTTCCCATCTGTCCCCTGCCACTACTTTCTACTCATATTCTCTCAGCTGCGATGACCACTTCAGAAAGACATGTCTCCCATGTGCATGCCCATTTCCACATCTTAGCCAGTGAAGCCTGCCTCCATCGTGGATTTAACGGGGGCCCTGGTTATATATTCCCGCCTTCCCGTTCCTAGAAACTGTGAGTACCACCTCATGTGGCAGAAAAAAAATACTGAACGGGAAAAGATAGGCTACTAAATCGAGGGTGTAAACTGCGTGAGCGCCTGAATACCTACTTCCTGAGTGTCAGTGGAGACAGGAGAAGGGAGAGAGAGACCCCACGCAGACACAGCAGACCCAGGGCAGGAGGAGGCAGTGACGGGGCTGCTCTACCAGCTGAGGAATTCTAAGCACTGCCTGTAAACAGTAGAAGCCGGAAGAGGCACGGCAAGGGTTCTTCCCCAGAAGGGTCTACAGCCCTTGAGAGAGACTCCAGGTCCTCCAGAGAATTTCTATTGCTTGAGACCACGTCATTTGCCACAAGCTGTCACAACAGCCTTATACACCCATACATGGCCCCTTGGGGTGCCTCTCCCACCAGCCCTGCAGCAGCCCAGATCCCAGAACCCGTGCATCTTACCCGGGATGAGGAGGATGGCTCCAACAATGACAATGACAGTGAGCACAGTCCCGGTGACGAGCAGCAGAATGATTCTCTTATTCGTGCGAGTGGATTTATATTTCAGCGCTTAAATGACAAACAAAGAATTACATAACCCAGTCACAAGTGATGCCATTTTTATAACACATAACGTGAGAGAGAAAGTGACAACTCCCCATCTGTGACTAACCTCAGAAGCATCATTCCTTACCATCAAGTCTCCTCCTACCCCTGCATTTTTATAAGGTATGGCCATGTAGATGTGGATGTTGAAGGTGTAGGTGACATTTTATTCCCCGATACAATAAAACTACATATAACAGGCTTTCTAAATTGAAGCATCATTAATCCCTTTTCACATTTTCCCCCAGCAGTGGATCTGTGCATACAATATGGCAGAATCCCTGAACCCCACATTCTAGATGCCATTAAGAGATCCCCCACTTCCCTACTTATCAATCAACGTGTTTTCAGGCATTGTCAATGTCCCCAGAGGGGCAAAATCACCCAAATAACACATCAGAGGCCACACAATGCTGATAAGACATAACTACTTAAAGAACAACATGGAGAAAACAAATGTATCCATTTTTAAAACGTAGTAGGACATCTAGAAGTCGGGGCAATTTAATTTGAAGATGGAAACAGAATAAACATTAAACAAATCACATCCTTGTAAAATCTCTATGGAAAAAAAAATGCCTAAACTTTCAACTAAGACATTGAAATAAAAGCACTGCCAGCATTCAAGAGGCTTCATGGCAGATATCACTGGTCCTGATGCAGGTCCACCCTCAGGTACCACTACCCTCCCTGAGACCACAGGTAGTGAGTGATAAGCATCACAACATTTTCTTTTGATCTCTTTTGGACCATTAAAGGCCACCTGGGATTGGACTGAAGAGAAGAGAGCTGCAAGATGTGAGACTGGCATGCTGGTGGTGCCACCTACACACTGATGTCCTGCTTGCTGGCAACCACGGGGGGGGGGGGTGTGCTGGTTTGAATGAGAAATGCCCCTTAGGCTCATACATTTGGACACTTGGTGGTGCTGCCTGGCGAGGGGTGGGGTGGGAGGATAATGGAACTTTTAGGTCATGGAGCCTTGTTGGAGGAAATAGGTCATTAAAAGCAGGCTTTAGGAGTTTATAGACTCCATTTCCAGTTTTTTCTCTCTCTCTCTGCTTCGTGTTTAAAGCTGAAGATATGATCTCTCTGCTCCATGGCTGCCATGTATTTCTGCCATTATGGACGTTCCCTTTAGAACCATAAGCCAAGATAAATATCTCTTCTTTAAATTGCTTTTGGTCATGATATTTTACCACAGCAACCAAAAAGTAACTAATACAGTGGGGAATTATTTTAAATGTTGTATTTGCTTTTAATTTTCTTCTACCGAAATGATGAACAGATTAAACATAACAAAATTGGAAAAGTACTTAATGACCATAATAAAAATCTATCACGAAGACACCTGAAGACTTTTATTGCTCTACGGTTCTAGCCTCTTTCCTGTTGTGAAAAACACCCTTTCCGTAAATGACTTGGGAGAGGGAAGGGCTTATTTCAGCCTACTGGCTACAGTCTATCATTGAGGGATATCAGGGCAGGAACTCGAAGCAGAAACCACAGAGGAACACTGCTTGCTGGCTCATGCTTAGCTAGAGTTCTTATACAGCCCAGGAGCACCTATCTGTACAGGGAACAGTGCTGCCCACAGTGGGTTGGGCCCTCCTGCATGAATTGTCAATCAAGACAATTCACCACAGGCCAATCTGATCTGGGCAACCCTTCAACTGTCCCTTCTCAGATGACGCGCTGGGCTGTGTGTCAAGCTGACAGTTAACTAACTAGCACAGCCTCCTACCCATTCTTTTGATTACAACCTCAGTTCTAGTCACTCCAGGAGGAGCCAGTGGTCTAAGCAATGAGAGTCCACAAAGCTGAGTAACCGACACTTTTAGGAACCAGAGTGCATCGTGTGGCAGGATCCCTGGGCTTCGGTTTGGTGGGTCACCTCTCTCCAGTCTTGGAGCTCACATGACCTCTGCTCGGTCCCACCCCTGCCTCCTCAGAAGGAGGGGTCTTCACAGCTTCCCGACTTTCAGATCTCAAATACCAGCTAGAAAGAAACTGAGTGTCTGGGTCACAAAAGACAAAGACCTGTTTCAGAAAGGCAGAAACCCAATGTTTCTCTAGGCAAACGGCTCATTTTCCATTTAATCCCATATATACTGCTATCTAAATAGAGCATGAAAACTCAGCAAAAGTTGCGACATAAAAGCTGCTTCAAATGTATCACACAGCCAATCCAGGTTTAATAAAAAAAAATGTACCATTAAAAGTAAAAATAAGAGTTTGAACAACACATAAACTCCATCCCTTTCAGACTGAGCAGGCAGAGCTGCCGAAAGGGAAATACCACCAACAATAGCAAGCAAACAAACAAACAAAAAAAAAACGCCAAAGAAATATTACATCAATAGGTCTTTCAAGTAATCTATGTGTTGGAGTCAGCCTTAGTTCTTGGTGACTGGTTCAACTACTATTTTCCAGGCTACTTATTTTTTCTTAAACAGGTATTGTAGCAAATATATTACTGGGTCTTATGTAATCCCAAGCAGTGGAAGAACATCTGTGTTTTCTTGAGCAAACATCTCTTCAGGCTCATAGTCTTTGCTCACAATGGCTGCATTCAGCCAGGCCCCACAGCAGGCGGAGAAGGTGTCTGGTTAGTCCAGTGTTCTCAGGGACAATGAGATTCCATAGAACCCAACAATTTCAAGGGTTTTTGCTAGTGATTTCTTCGTTTTCTTTAACAAGTGGATTTATCCTTATTTACCCAATTTATCAAGCCATTAAACATAACAAAGACAACATGGATGCAAAAATTTCCAAAACGCATGGGATAAAAATTAGCTTTTTTTTTTTTTAAAGACAGGGTCTCTCTATGTAGTCCTGGCTGTCCTGGATAAAACTCTCTATGTAGACCAAGTTGGCCTCACATTCACTAAGATCACCTGTCTCTGCCTCCCGAGTGCTAAGATTAAAGGCACGCACCCCTACACTTGGGTTAATTTAATATATTCTTCACAGCAGGCTTTTATCAAACTTCCTAGCATAATTTTGCATCTTAGCAAAATAATCCACACGGTTTTAATAATGTGTATGCTTTTAAAAATTCCCCTCAGCTAAAACTACTGAAACCAATACTTAAAATACTTAAGAAATAATAGCACTTACATTTTGTTTTGTTTTGTTTTTTGAGACAGAGTCTCACCAGACAGCCCTGGATGGCCTGGAACTCACTCTGCAGATCAGGCTGAGATCAGTGTGTACCATCACACCCCGGCCAGAATTCACAGTTTTAACAAAGAGTTTCTAACTTTACTGCTACCAGATACAGGAAAACCAAGTATCAGGGGAAACCATATGAGGTGACTTCATTTGTTTTGTGATACAGTCTCCCTATGCAGCCCTCGATGACCCTTTAATCAACATCCCTCCTGCCCTTTCATTAATCCATATCAGGGAACAAATAGTGGGTTGCTTTACTCGACAAGGACTGAGTGATTCTGACCCAACCAACCCATGGAAGGCAGAGGTCTAGTCTAACCTTAGTTTCTTGTGTACTATATCTTCCAGTGAACAAAGAATCTACATGCTCTGCCAGCGACCCGAATGAGGAGCTCTTGTTATGAACAGACACAATTTTTCTGGTCTCTGCCACTGACACACAGCACATATTAAGATGGCACCTGAGTTGTGGCTGATAAAACCGAGCAAAATAACCAAGTCAATGTGGGCTTAAAAATACAATCTATCATGTTAAACGTTTATGATCCTCTAAAAATGAGACACAGAACACCCACAAAGGCCCACTCAGACTTGCGCTACCTAGAAAAACCCAACGCTTGCTCAAAAGACATGACATTCACACAGTCCCTAGCTGCATGACTAAGGTGAAGAGACAGGAGGTAGGCTATGGAGATTGAATTTATATCAGATTAAGAGTAAATGATAAAGGGAGCCAAAACCATCAATTTAATTATCATAGTGGTTTTTTTTTTTTTCTGATAACTCTGACAAAGTAATTTAGAATCCTTTGGTGTCTGCTGGGCTGTAAACTAATACTATTTTCAATATAATTTGATAAAGTACATAGGATTACTTTAAAAAATCAAAGTCAAATTTCATTTTTTAAACACACACACATAGATGAAGGCCTCGTGGAAATGGTGCTGGAGAAAAATGAACTGCCATGTATAAAGTGTTTACTTGCTGTAAGTGTATAAGATAACTGTAATAGATTCCACATCCTAGCCAACTTCTCTGATGAAATAAGTTTATCAAGATGAATACTACTGAAGATCCCACTCCCTGTCCATAGGACCTAGGGAAAAAAGCTTTTTTTTTTTTTAATGGCAAATATTTGAACACAACAGAGGAGAATGTCCAGCAGACATCTACTGATGACAGATTACCCTGTTTCAATGGAAGGTTCCAGAATTTCAGAGTATATTCAAGAGCAGTGGTGTCTGGATTTTGGAAGCATAAAGCAACTGGTGACTACATTTCTATAAGAGTAAAATGCTGTGCTACATACAGCTTGGGCCAGGTCCTCTTACAGTGAAGTCAGTGAGTAACTACACAGCTTAGGCATCTGATGAGCACTATAGGGAAAGGATCAAGTGTAACACTTGAATAAAATTAAGCATCATTTACAATTAGGGCCCACCAACCAGGTCACAGGCTGACTTTTGGTAGTAATATTTATCAGAATGATATTTTTATTTTCTTGCTTGAATAGAACTCTCCACTTCAATTTAGTGTTTCTTCTCATGTCTTGAGAATTATTTTTACTATTCACTGAGAAAAATCCCTGTACCATCAACTTCTTTACCATGTGCTTCCAAGGTCTTGCCATTTTCATTAAGCTAGGCTCCGAGGGCTTAGTGAGACCTCAAGGCTCTTGTGATGGACACTTGTTTTCTTTGAATTTTCCAACAATGATCTTCACAGCAACATTTGCCCAAATACCACCAAGTGATAACCAAATTGTCCATGGGGCAATCTTAAGTTGGGATGAGACAGAAGAGGAAATGAAGGGTGTCTAGAACATACAGAAATAAATCCCAGAAGCTCTCACTTTACACAGTTCTGGCATGCATGGATTCCATGGCTTACTTGTATAACTCAGGTCCTCCAATTACAGTTGGAAGTTTCATTACCAAAATGCAACAAGTGAGTAGTACATGAAGGATGCTTCATGTTCTGTCTTTAATCCAAACACCACAATACAATATAAATAACAAAAGTGTCATCATGTCACAACTATTGAAGACCATTGGTGACAGTCACTGCATGCTTATTCTTCAGTTCATGCATTGACAACCAAATGGGTAGTTCTATCTCCTCATCTCCCAGTGATAAACGCACAGGACACTCTATAATGAATTATCAAAAAAGGAAACCGGGCAGGAGAGGTACAAGGGCAGGAAGTGACAAATGTGAATGCTGGCCGTGAAATTCAAACAGACCATGGCAGGGTTCCAGAAAAGCTGCTGTGGGGATGGATGGTGACCCCACCACCATGGAGGCAGCTCAAGAGACAGCCCAGGAGCTGAGGGAAGGTGAACTCACGGACATGAGTGAATGAGAATGTCCCTGAGGATGTGACTCTGGTAAAGAAACCACAAACAAGCAAATGACAACAGAAACATCCAATTAAAAAAACACACCATAGAACTCTGAGATGTTTCACTGCCAGTATGAAGATGAAATGTTGCAGGCTGATATGAACTAAGAAGGGAGCCTGACAATTTACCAGGGGATGTTTGCTACATTCCCAAAGTTATAGAGCAAAAACAAAAGGATCATTCAAACCTGACTATGACACTTTAAATGCCGACTTTTTAATAGTCTGACTCGCCGCCGTGCAGTAATTATTAACTTGACTATTATCTTCACCTTCCAATGCAGTTATACAAGGAAAGTTTTTATATTTTCGAAGATTTTTGCATGAGACAGGTTCTTGCTGTGGAGCTCTGTTTTGCCTGGTACTTGCTCCGTAGTGCCAGGATCACAGGACTGCTCCACCAACCCAGCTTGTTTTCCCAACGTATTTTGAAGGCCACTGTATGATAGTAATTTCCCTGTCTATTATCAAGTCGGTTTTGCAGAGCTCAGCTTCCACAGTCAGGTTCATGGCCATGCAGCGGAGTGCAAAGGATCACCTGTCTAGGACAAGGGTTAAAGGAAAGGAAGACAAAGAACAGATATGCCTGTGACAAAGAACCTTGGACAATAGCCAGCTCTTTATATATAGCGGGGCCTTCAGCCTCAAAGAACTACAATACCACATGCAGCTCTTGAAAGCACCTATCAGCCATCTAAATGTAGGAAAGAACTTATGTTACCTCCGTGCAGATGAAGAACCCTGAAAATCATCCAGGAGCCTGTCAACGACATGACTGACTGAGTTGATACAAGATAAGGGGGTCTGTGTTAAGGTTTCTACTGCTGTGACCAACAGCAACCAGTGATGGAAAGGGTTTATTTCAGCTTAGGACACTCAGGTCACACTCCATCACCGAGGAAGGGCGATATTGTCCCGAGCTGTAGTTCCAGACACAGCTTTCTGTAAACAAACTGTCTGCAAAGGTTTAGGTTTCTTCTCGCAGCATAACAGATGCACATGCAGAGCCAGAGAGACCACTGAGAGAAATGGCCTGTGGTCAAGTACAGACCAATATGGAAAGTTAAAAAGAACGAGATAACCAGAAAAGAAAACTCTTGGGTCCGTGTTACCATTAATGCATGACCTCACAGATGGGACAGCAGGTCAGAACCAAGGAGTCTTTTACAGGGTGGAAGTGACTGATTGGTTGGTTGATTGACTGACTGACTGACTGACTGATTGATTGATTGAGGCCAAGTACGAGATAGGCAGCTGTACCATCCTGACTGCACAGACTGACATGTGGTGGCCTCAAAGCCAACAGGCTTGGACACTCACTTCCACACCTCCAACCTTTAGCTCAGTACCCAGAGCTCAACCAGACATCCTGCAGTAGGTACTAGTGGGAAAAAAAAACCCAACACATGAGACCAACATCTGCTCTACTACGAACAGTTTCACAGGCTCAGAGTGGTACACTAGACACACACACCCACCCTTCCTGCAGATAAATTCAAGGACGGCAGACAATCTAGTGGTTACCAGGAAACTGTAACCAAATCCAGGATTACCAAGAAACCAACCGCTGGGTGACTGTGGACAAACTGCCTGTCTCTTATCTTCAAAACAGGAACAATAATAGTCAGGGCACTGGCAGAGTCCCTGTGGGAAATACACGGGGAGAGCATGGGCACAGTGCGTGGTCGCTCCTCGGAGCCAGAGCTCCACAAATATCCAGCTGCTATTAGAACAACCCAACCCAAGTGGGAGGCCTGTCAGGGTGAGGCAAACACCTTGGTTCCTCTTCCACATGCTTACTCTTCCACTCCCTCAGGTCCCCCCCTTGTTAAGATGACCCAAACATTCCCCTTAAGTATTTCTTTAGGTTCATACATATACTCTTTAAAAATGCAAGTGGTATCATAAGAACATTAAAAAGAATGTCTAAACTCACTAATACAACATGGACAATTTTTTTTTCTCTTCCACACATCAAATTAGCGAAGGATTTTAGAACTCTAACAGTGTCAGGACCCTGAGATGAAGGGTGAACGTTTCTCGTCAGTGGTAGCAGTAACTGAGAGGGTGGATCTGGAACACATGTTGGTAGAGTTTATCTGTAGGCTTAAAATACCACTGATGGCCAAAAGCGCATACACTTTCATCTGAGTTTCACAGTCTCTCTTAATAACCATTACAATGAAAGTGCAATAAAACAGGACGCAGCCCTAACGGGAAAGCACAAGCAGCCGGGCAGCACTCTGAAGACGCTGGGACCCAGGGATGTACAAGTACATAGGCTGTGTGATCACACTGACAGTCTCCTTTTGTAGAAGAAAACCAGCCAGACACAGACAAGGACAGAAAGGGAAGCCGGAAGGTTACTAGGACCAAAACACAAACCAACAAATAAAAACCCCAACGACCCTTATTTCTAGACACAGGGCCAACAAGATGACTTATTTTCTTGACAACTTCTTATATAATGTATTCCACAGTCAGAAAAAAAAAGTGCTTAGTCTTATTCGGTATAAATATGGCTGACCAGAAATAGATTCACTTCTGATACTTTCCACTGAAGATGGTGTTGCTGATGATAATGTCATAACCAGGAAACTTCTGTCAACTCAGATTCAATGGCACTGCTGAGAAATCACTGTCTGGTCCTCAAAAGGCTGTTTCCTGCCTGAGTCACATGACCGCTCTGAGAAAGCCTGGGTCTGCCAATGTGGCTGAAAGCTTTCCTTAACGCCTGAGGGCGTTATCAGCTCTTTCCTTAAAATAAGAGGCTTTCTGGAATTCTAAGACAACTTCCAACAGCAGCTCACCATCTCGGAGGTGAGGGCTATGGTGTTTCGACAGCTGCCACTGTCAGGCCTTATTCATGTCTTTTCCCATTTAGACACAACCTGGGAACGTTTCTGAAGTCACTAAGCATTTCCAGAGCCCCGTGCTTTGGGCAAAGCTCTTCAAATAAACCGCCAGGCATGTCCTGTCTGTTTTTATGTCTCACTGTTTTCGTGTCACACACACAGCCTCGCCCTTCCTAGGAAAGAACTTCATCCACTACCCAGCAGGCCTCCTCTGCAGTGATTCACCAGCTAAAGGCTGGGGAGCAAATTTAATGAGCGCGGTTTCCTCCTTACCTGTAGAGGTGTTTCCTGGCCTTCAGTGACTGTGTCAGGGGGCTCAGAGGATGAGCAGAGCTTATATTTTACAAGTTTGAAAGTTTAGTCGGTCAGCTCAGAACTTCACAAATGTAGTCAGTTTCTCTTACTACGCTGGTATGGAAATACCGAGGAGAGATCGGCATGTTCCTGGTGGAACGGCTATGGGATGGTATGTGGATACTATTGAGTATAAGCCTGAATTAGGATGCATATAATAGATTACCCTGTGATGACCAAATTTATACAACTGAGACAAATCAGACACAGCATCAGGTTTTGGCCTTTAGAGATTTGGTTACGTAGCTGTCAAAGCAAGGTCACAGAGCACAACAGTTCCTTTTCCATCAGGGGCCACAGAGCTGTACAACAGGCACAAACAGGCCTTTGTCTATAGACAAGCTTAAACTGGAGGAAATGAGGCAGAGCATCCCAGGGCCCCCAGCATAGGATTCTGTCTTCACACTTAAGTAGCCTATGACCATCTGTTTACCATATAAAAGAACATTTGTAAGTAACCATGTCACAGGATTTAAGGTGTTGTTACTAACATTTCTACTCATCCCTCCCACAGAGATCTCAAAACACCACTCACAACCAAACACCTTAAACTTAAATAACGAGCTGTAGTAAAATATGGGAAACAGTACATGTTTCAGAGAAACCGCACTTTTCCCAATACAGGCCAGTTAGATAAGACTATTCCACCAGTAATGCCCTAGAAATAAACAACGTGTCACAAAAGCATAAATGAAAAAATGCATTCGAATACTTACTTAAAATACCAAACTTTCCCCAGAACAGGAGTATAGCCAAAATTGGGAAAATAACAATGAGGATCTTTTCATTTGGAGAAAACCATGATGCTGTGGAGAAAGAAAAACAAAAATCGTAATTAGTGTTTACCATACTCACTGCTAATGGTCTCCAATATATCCTTATTATTCTAGTAGAAGATAGAAACAATTCAAACTGTGGGCATGGTTTACACACACACACACACACACACACACACACACACACACACACACACACACACAGAGGCAAAACACATTTCAAGTCTAACTTCCTTAGCAACAAATTCTTTGACTATATGTAGACCGTGTGCACTTGTATGGAGTCGAGGTCAACATCTGGTGTCTTCCTCATAGCCTTCCACCTCGCTCTTTGAATCAGGGTCTCTCCCAAACCTGGAGGGCACTGACCAGACCAGGCTGGGGCCATTGAGCTCCAGGGGCATAGCTGTCTCTGTCTCTCCAGGGCTATGCCCTGGCCTTTTGTGTGGATGCTGGGGATCTGAACTCAGACCCCCACACTTGTACGACAAGCATCTGACCCACCGATCTAGCCCCCCAGTCCCCCAGAACAAAACACGGTGTGCAGGAAGCCCACAGCTCTGGATCTGGATGAGTCTCACCACACTCTCCTGTCCTGTGTTCTGTGGAAGGGCAGGTGGCAGTGGATAACAGGCTCTGGCCACACTGCCAGGTGTGAAAGCCAACTCAGACTCAAAAGCTGTGTGGCTGCAGACAATGTCTGAACACCTCCATTTGTCAGCACCCTTGAATGACACAGACTCTGTTTGTTGGAGGATTTCTACTACTAACGAAAGTTATATATGTAAAGGGCTTAAGGTACGCGCTCGGTAACTGTGAACTGCAGTTATGTGTTTGTTTGCTGAGTACCTGTGTGTGTTCATAATGCCAAAATCATCATCAAGGAACAGTAAATGTTCCTTTGAAGCCTGACTCGGGGAACCACATGAAGGAGCTCTCGGGACCACTAGGCCCTTCTGCGGACTGTGACTAAGAAAAACACGGGTGTCCCTGGCCTTTTCTCAAACTGACTCTCCGAGAGAAGACTTAACTCGTAAGCCACAGACTTCAAAAGGGTAGTTTTATGGAGACACGAGGGACTTCAGGTTATTAGGGAAGGTGTTTAGGTGCATACCAAGACTCCAAATAAGACTTGTTCAGAACTTTTAAAATGTTACGTTTGACTGCAATTGATAATCCTATAGACTGAAGTTTTATGTATGAGATCTGTTTTTCTCTGACAGCAAAGCTGAGTACACGCACTGCAAGAATTTCAGAGTTTGCCTGTACTGGGACACGTGCTAGCGAAAGGGCCCCTTTGCTCCTGGCTGCTGTCCCAGGCGAGCACCGGCACTCCTCTGAGATCAACCCCAGGTAGCCCTTCTGCCCTGGGTGTCAATGCTGAAGTTCATGGGCTTTCATTCACAATGACAGCCATGTGTTTCTTATATTAAGCTTACAAACAGAACACTGGCAAAATGCTTACATTAATCCCTATAACATAAGAAAATTGTAAATTCTATCTCGGAAATATCAGCACTTCAGAATCTAATGTTCTGCCCTATCCACAGCAGAGTCAACGTATCTGCTGTTAAAGATAACAAGTATTCCAAATTAGTGAATGAAAATAACCTCATTTTTAAAAAAATGTAATTAATTAATTAATTCCGTGTGTGTGTGTGTGTGTGTGTGTGTGCGTGCACGCATGTGTGTGTGTGTGTGTGTGTGTGTGTGTGTGTGTGTGTGTGTGTGTGTGTATAGGTCAAATAACATCTTACAGAAGTTGGTTCTCTCCTTCTACCACATGTGTCCTAGGGATAGAGTTCATGTAGCCAGATGTGACAGTGAGTGTCTTTACCTGCTGAGCCATCTCGATTCCCCACGCTAAATTAAAATGTCTGTCGGTCCTGCAGGATGGAGTACAGGATCACAGTGAAGCTGTGATCAGAATGTCACGGCCTCAGTGATGCACGAGAGAGAACCATGTGACCGACAAGCACCACCCTGGGTTCAGTTTTACTGGTCACATCTGAAGCTGAAACAGAGGACTGACCGACGGGAGGTGACAAAACAAGGGTGTGACAGCATCAGCAATGGCTGAGTGAACTGGATGGAGGCAGTTGAGAGAACAGCTGAAGCCCTCCCAGCAGGGGAGAAACCACAGCACAGCAGGTCCCGGCTGAACTGGGACCTCAGGCAGATCCCAGGGAAGGGAGGGGTCTCTGCGCGCCCAGCAGTTAGGCAGCAAGCTGGAATGGTCACAAGCAAGCTGCCTGGCGCGAGAGAAATCGGGAAGGAGTTGCCGCGACGGAGTCGATGACTACTCAAGGCCTAGAAGATTCTATGAAGGAATAATGAGAAATGGAAGAGGACGGTTCAATGACAGAAAGGGAAAGCAAGACAGAGCCAAAAATATTACGGTCTGAGGTTCTCAGTCGGAACACATAAGGATCTCCCAGGGGTGGATGAAAACTTCACATACTCTGCTCTCATTACCACACCAGGATGTTAGCATGTTCCCTGGTGCTAAGTGTGTGTGTGTGTGTGTGTGTGTGTGTGTGTGTGTGTGGCAGGGGGATGTCTGCCACTCCCTGTTTAAAATGACTGCCGCGGATTTCTGCTGGAGTCTAGCTCCGGTCGCTGACACGAATGTGTTGTCTTTCTCTAGTCTATTATGCTGGAGAAATGCTGAGTCACTGAACTGGACATTTAAAAAAAAAATCAACTGAGCTGACTTGGATCAACTGAGCTGGGCGTGGCGGTACACTTCTACAATCTCAACACTCAAGAGGCTGAGGCAGGAGGATCATGAGTTCAGGCTATTTAGCTAGACCCTGTCCAAAGGGGAGATGGGAGGAAATGTGGGGGAAAACCTCCAGTGTTTTATATAAACCCATTTAGATGTCCATTAAGTTGCTGATTTACAGAAGTGTCAGGTGCCATTAACTCCTCTTCCCCAAGGGGAGTGAAAGACTAGGCACTTCTCTGCGATCCATTTCAGCTCTGACTTTCTATGGCATTAAGAAAATTAATTAAGCATAAAATGATCTAAGAAGAGTATCTCAGTATTGGGAAAGATACTCCAAGGACATTCACTTTGGTTCCACCCAAGCTATGGCCGACAACTCTCCCCTCATGCTCCCAAGCTCCCATTCTTCCTCAGGAAGACGACACCCAGGAAAATGAACCTATTACTAAAAAGACAGAGATGATACTAAGGAGGGTGTGGTCTGTGGGTGAGGGTTTAACGCTTGCTTCCAATCTGACTGTTAGTGACACCCAGGATGCCACTTCTGCCAAATGGACCTGGCTAAAAGGGTGAAGGGACCATTCCTCTTCTTCAAATACATCTGCAACATACATACACATATAGTTTAAATGGAATCTTCCCTTCTGGCCTGACGATGCTCTCCACAAAAGCCACAGACTGTGTATCAAAAACACCAACACCAGGCATTAGAATCCCCCCTTTGACTTGTTGGTAAAGGCTGTCCAAGAGACTCCCAAAACATTATGGGCTATTGCTGCTGCATGTGGCGACCTCCCAGAGGTGGAAGGTAAGACCCTACTGCTGAAGACATCATGAACTTCAGACATAGGACTTAGAGGACCTGAGCTGGATCTGGCCTGAAAGCCTCCTCCCTGAGGATAACTATCACGGTACTAGAAGGTGGCATGCAAGCTTCCAAAGGAGGGAAGCAACCAATCCTTGATATCTATGAACTACTACAACAACCGGCATGGCAAATAATCCTAGGGGTACAACAGAGGCCTGTATACCTCAGTAGTAACCAAAAGCTCTTTAATTGTACCTAAGGCCAGCTCAGCAAGAGGGAAACGCTTCCTGGTACTATAAACCTAGCCGACCACACAGGGTTAGTGGAGCCATGGATCTTGGAGTCAATCTACAACAGCCACTTTAGTACACCAGTATAAGCTCTGAAAACATTCGAAATACTTATCCTTATGCACACAAATAAGTGGTCTCACCCCTCATTAAAGAAACTTTTCTTTGCAACAGAGACCATTGTGAAAATCACAGCTGATCAAAATGCAGAAAACAAGAGACCCTGTGATGCCCAGTCCCGACAGATACATCTACAACACAATTCCTGCATGCAAGCCTCATATTATTGCTGAAGTGGGGTGTGGAAAGATTTTTGTAAGGCCAGAGAAACAGGAAGTTTTCTGTGAGATTGTGTCACACAGACTGTAAAGAGAATACACCCAGGAAGTCTCCCCAACACGGCCGCCTAAACAATGATACCACCACCGAACACGCTGACCCCAAAGTTAAAGTTCATAGAAAAGCTCATGGAACCTCAACTACAGACAAAGAACTACTGGCAACTGGAGAATGCTGAGAAAGGGAGAGACAGTCTTCCCCAGGGAAGGGTCCCTCAACTGGTTATCCAATACCAGCGGTCAACCCTGAGATCTCACACATACAAGTAACATTATATGGACTGAGCAGTTTGTGTTTGTGTATTTAGAAGTGTGTGTGTGTGTGTGTGTGTGTGTGTGTACAAAACAATTACATAAAGAGGCCTTGAATTTGAGAGAGTGGGGGGTGCACACATGGTAGGAGCTGGAGGAAGTAAAGGGAAGGGGAAATAAGGTAATTTCAAGAAATAAGAAAATATTGTAATATTTTAATATAAAATATTTAATATTTATATTAATTACTTAATATAAATATTATATTGATAACTATTATAATATAAATAAAACATACATATGCAAACCTCCAAAACATAGAAAAAATGAGCTTTGGCAAAAGATCCTAAGAAACTTTAGAACATTAAAATTCGAGCTAAGTCTTGCCGACGCTTCAGGATTGGAATGGCTTTTCCGGTGCGTCTGCAATTCACCAGTCATTTGAGCAAACTCAAAATTCTAAGGTGAGCTCCCAAAGCCCTGACAGCACTAGCCCATGCAATTCTCTCTCTCTGCAAGTAAGACTGAGCACCTTAGATTTCCTATGACAATTACAACTAGAAAAGGAAGTTTGCTGAGACCATTAGGATGCCAGTCGGTTGACATTAAGGATG